GGAAGCTGCTACTGACATAGTTGAGAAGGACTTTGAAATCTTAGGAGGAGTAGGGAAAATAGTTGAGATTGATGAGAGCTGCTTCTCGAAGCGAAAGTACAGCAAGGGGAAGAGGAAGAAGAGTCAACAGTGGGTGTTTGGTGGAGTTGAACAGGGATCAAACAAATGTTTTCTTGTTAGGGTAGAACGTAGGGATGCAAAGACATTAAGGGGGACCCTGGTGAAACTTTCAAGTAGGCTTCAAAATAATCCCAGAAAGTTGAAACTTTGCTTAATTATGAGGTTCATTAGGGAACATTCACAAATTACGTAAGGGCCTCGAGGGGGTGGGGGGGTCGACCAATCGTTACTAGAGTCTTATGTGGGGGTGTGGGGGAGTCTAAAGCAAGCCTTATGTAAGGTTTCTGAACGCGCTGAATGGGTTAAAAGTGGAATATCTTTGTTATGTCATGTTTGCGTTGATTTTATTATGGCCAAATGCCCTTTTATTGATTTCTAGTTATGAACCCACGCTTTTGCAATGAAAGCAGTGCCATCTTAAATCAGAAATCTGATTGATTTCTGCCTCCGAAACCGCTGATTTATCTCGTCTTCAGCACAAAACACGTAAAATACAGAGAAAAACCGTCTTGAGGGTTTTATGGGGATGTTTTGGGGCGAAAACCTTACGTAATGGGGGGTGGGGGGTCTTGAAAACTTACTTGGCCTTAAAGGGGGTACAGGGGGGTCAAAAACGCCCCAAATCGCCCTTACGTTATTTGTGAATGTTCCCCTATGGTGAGTTCCTAAAACAAAATTCAACCCAAAATGTTGAACGGTCTCTGAGAAAAGTGGCTTTTTAGTGTTTTTTGGAGCGTTGGGGAAAAATCTTCCTGCGTCTTTCATTGGGACGGAAAGTCTTGAAAATTTTTTTGGGTTATCCTAAAGATGTATAGAAGAGATTTTAGTGACGGAATTTTCAAATTCAACTTCTGTCCTGAGGTATGAGTTTTCAAATTTCAACATTAATAAAAAAGTGATTTTTTCCCTTTTTTCAAACTTTTAGGTGTGTTTAAAAAAAAGTAGGGCTGATATCAAGATTCTGTCACTAAAATTTCTCGACAAGTCATCAATGAATGGAGTCCATGCAAGACGACCCATGTAGGTGTCAACCAGGAACGCAGGAAGTCTTTCTACGACAAATTTTTTTGTCGACTGAGCAAAGCTGTGAAGTTGAGCGTTGAAGCCAACGACAACTGATCTCAATGTTATTTCCTTCCAAATGATAAAGAAACTACCCACTTAGCTTAAAGGTTGAACACCTGTTGAATTTGAAACCTTCTATGCACATTTTTATCTATGAACTTTGAAAATTCTATTTTTTGGAATTTTGGCGATTTTTTCACCAGGGTCCCCCCTTAATCCCGATTATTGAGAAGTATGTGCATCCAGGGACCACTATATATTCAGATTCATGGAAGTCTTACGATTGTTTGGGTAAGAAAGGATATTACCACTTGAAAGTGAACCATAAGATAACATTCAAAGGCGGTGATTGTTGTACCAACACCATAGAAGGGATGTGGAAACATGTTAAGAAGATTTTCCCTGATTGCAATAGGAAGAAGGGTATGTTTGATTCCTACCTTGGGGAATTTATGTTTAGACGCAAAGCCACTTGTGATACCTTTTTCTTTATGGACAAAATTATTATTGTTGACCCGCCTTTAGATCAAGACCCTCTTCCTGAAGGTGAGTCTTCTGATGATGATACTGATGTCAACAATTAAATTCTGATTGGGCTTACTTGCATCGTTTTGCTTTCTTAATATGAGTTTATTGATAGTGACGTTTTCCTTACAAACGTTGGCACCACTTACCCAAGATGGCTGGGAGTCATATAATGAATTTTGGACGAAAATTACAACTGATTTTTTAACAGGGGTGGTTCGCCGAGATGTGGGAATTTGAGGCACGAGATTTCTAAGATTTTAATGTGCGGCTTTTCGGATGAAATTTTGCAGGCTCATTCGAGATGGCTCTAGAATGGTCCCCAAGAAATATCAAAGCTTAATTCGTTCCAGTTTTGTTTCAAATGGCTTAAATGTTGAAAGCGTACTTTTGGTCGACGTTTGTTACACGCGCGCCGACGTTTGTTACATTTGCGTCGACGTTTGTTACACGCGCGTCGACGTTCGTTACATTCAAGTGGTTTGGGTGGAATTTCAAATTGGACAAAACTGACATCTATTTATAGAAATCGATTCGTCTGATCAGGACAAACAAAAAATCCTAACATATGTAATAGGCTTGGATGCGAAATAAACGAGTATTTAAGCTTCAAAAATGCAGTAACAGGCGTCGACGCCGGGGTCCTGGCTGATTACATCCGATTACATCATTACACTTTGTAAAAACCATCTATTTCGCAAGGAAATACCAAATTTGCTTGTACGTAACAGACGCTGTATGATGTAAATAGGTCAAATGAAGCGGCAAACATGACGTTGTCCCAGTATTTGAAAATGTTTATCCGGGGGAGGTCAAAATTACGCGTTGGCGATTACAGGTTTATGATTGCGAGTTACGGCAAAGCGACCTATTATCCTTGTTTTGAACCTACCATACTCCTGTAGAAGTATTTCCACCGTTGCAGTTTTGTTTAACATCAATTTCGAAGCCGAATAGGGTTGGCGCTTGGTTCGGTGCAGGCACAAAACACGCTTAGAACCGCGAAATACAAATGCCTGTAGCAAGTGACGCAATTTGCGGACAAAACTTTTCTTCCACTTTACGAACGAACGAATCGACTCAAGGTTTCGGGACTTAGGTTAAAATGTAGATTAAAGTGTCCACTCTCGAAAACACACAAAACTTTGGGTGTTTTAACGGCGTTATAAGGAATTAGACTTCACATTGTGTTGCAATCGGGGATTTGGACACCGACAAAACGGCCATTTTTGTACCTTTCCGGCGCTATGTGTGGTACAAGAAGTCAAAAATTTTGACTGAAAACATGTACATGCCTTTCTCTGAAGGTGTTTTGTTGTTACATAAGGGGTATATGCTGATAGGAAGTCCGTGCAAGTGGTAATTGAGCTAAACATCTTTGATTTTAAAATTTCCACATTTTGACGAACCAACCCAACAGTGTTTTCAGTGTGTTGTCCCATTAAGGTTACCTCCAAGTTCATGCAATTTCCTTTGTTGATACTGGGACATGTAGATTTAGTTAAACAGAAAAGTGTCCTGAATTGAAACTTGAAATGGATAGGATGAAATCACTGGTTTTTAGACAAAAGGACCTGAGTCAACATTTTGGCCAAAATGTATTGTTTTCTCAGAGTGCTGGTGAAACTTAACACAAAATGGCGAAAGACCTATGATTGTAGGATAATTAGTTCGGAAGTTACATATAACTTCTATAACAACGCTATAGCGTTGTACCGTACAACGTGAGTTCACTCGTTTTCTGTAAAAAACAACACAAGTCCATCCGTTTCCTGATTAAACTCTTTAAGTCCATTTGTTTTCTGATAAAACCACCAAAGTCCAGCGCGACGTTTTCTGACAAAAGAGCATACGTCCACTCGTTTTCTGACAAAGGCACGTATGTCAATAAGGACTTAGGTCGTTAGGACTGGAAAACTGGTGTAGACTTGTGCTCTTTTGTGAGAAAGCGACTAGGCTTAGGTTACGAACATCCAAAAACGAACACTGTAAAAAACTTTCTCGTAAAATAACGAAATTTTTTTGGGTAATTTTCTTTTACGAACTGTTCGTAATTTTACAAAAATGTCGTTTTTATACGACACATGTCGTATATTTTCGAAATGTTTTCGGCCCATTGTCAAGATTTTCAGCTTCAACGAGCGTGCTGTAAAAAAATCTTCCAAAAAAATATTTTTTTCTTGTAATACAGGTGTTTCATTAAAAAGTTTACGAAATGTTTTCATATAAAACGACAACTTTGCAAAAGAAAATTACCCAAAAAATTTCGTTGTGTTTTGGACAATGTTTTCCGTAAAGCCTCACTGAACTTAACATTTGGGTATTTTGATATTGTTGTAATTTCCCGCCAATTGGGAAGATTTCCCTCTCTCTACGAAGTGATTTTATAGGATTACGATAATTTTGTAATGATTTTGTATAATTGCGATACATTTTGTAAATTGACAAAACAATAATCGTTTTTATGAAACTTATCGTGGTAGTTAATATTTCGTAAATTCACGATATTTTTTTACAGTGATGGAGCTTAGATTGTTTTGTAGAAAAGGAATGGAAACTTTACGTGAAACGCTTTTTACGGGCGAATATTTTTAGTAGGAAAAAGGCCTAATTGAAATTTGAATGGATTGGATGCCTGTTTTGCAAAAGGCCCTACATCATCTTTCAAAATTATTGTTTCCTCTTGTTCCAAAAGGCGGTTGAAAAAATTATTTCCCCGGAAACGGTAAATTTATAACAAGATGCGTTGTCCCGTACAATAGCCACTGTAAAAGAAACGGGAAATACTAACCTTTGTTTTGCACAAAGTCCAGCATTTTTAAAAAGAAACTCCACTTTTTTGAATTTCAATGAATAGCGGGGACAAAATTGTGGATTGTCCCAAAAAATTTATTAAAAAATTTCCAAAACGAATTTTTTTTGAAAAAGGGAAATTTAGGAAAGAAATTTATCTCAAATTTAGTAAAGGGGATTGTCCATGAACAATTGGTTTTTTCAATATTTTCTTTGCCCTTGTTTCCCCCGCTAAAGTTTCCCAAAACGTTTCTGGAAAGGTATAACAGGTATTGTGCAATGCGCCAAAGAAGGGGAAACAACGTTGCATGCGTTTTTAGCCATAATGCACCTAAACGTGCGATGCATCCCGAAAATGCCCGATTTTGTAACGAATGGGAATGGGGAGGTATTGCACTTCATGTGCAATGCTTTTGCATCGCACCAATTGACGCTATACTCATAGCGTTTGGATTCTCAGTGCCGTGGCAAGCAAGCTTAACCAACAGATGATGTACCTGAACGATGTATTCCCGTTCCTCGGCCGAAATGCGAGGGTGGGTTTCGGGGCTGTCCTCGGACACCAAGAACACCATGATGGCTGCGAGCAGGCCGAGGCCGCCGAACACGTAGAACACGGACGGCCACCCCCAGGCGTACGCCAGCCAGCCCGACGACGCCATCGCCACCACGTTGCCGACCGGCTGGGCTGAAAACAAAGCACCAGTTAGGTACTCGGAAACGAGCGGGCCTGACACGAAAGCACACTGCAAGAAACAACCACACAGCAAAAGTACACATATTCCTGGCAAACTTTTTATCAGAAATTTATAGTTCTTTTTAATAGCGCTATGTACGTAATTGAGTTCATCAGTTGGAGGCACGACATCTTCTGAACACCCATGGCAGCCTTGGCGCCTCCAATTGGGCCCTACCAGGCAGGATTCCACGACGGTAGGTCTAGTAATGACCATGTGTTCGCAATAAGGAGAATCCTGGATGCCCACTGGAGAGATGGAAACTGGACGCACATTCTGGCCCTGGATATCAAGCATCCCAAACGCTGATTGACAGGAGAATTGCGGCAGCGAGCAATTATGGAGGTTCCCATATTTTCCCTGGTGCTGGACTAACCGACAATGGTGCCCGTGATCTTGGCTTTTGCCGATGACGTGTTGACTGCTGCCAATGAATTGGAACATTTACGTGCACTGAGTGGTCCACTAATTCGTGCGCTTCGGTGTCAAATTAGAGATCCCTGGAGATACCAGGTGGAACTCAAAGTTTGATGCGAAAATTTTTTTTGTTCCAAATTGTTTCGCTTATAGAGAAGGATGAGTCAAACTTCAATGAAGTAATGAGCAATACTGGCCTTCCAAAGCTTCTGCCTTCAGAGTTCATGTTTTAGACGGGGTATGTTCATGTTATGACCCCAGTAGCATTTGCCTTACACATATTGCAAAAAGACAAAAACAGGTACCTAAGATATATGATTCCCACTATCCGGGCAATGGAGAAGCTATTGAATGATGCCAAATACTTAGATAATCATAACCTCAAATATTGCCTGCCTCTTTGCTAAAGCATTGCAATCCACCGTGAGAAAGCCGAGGCGTTTCATGTATCAATTGGATGACAGATGCCTTGAACTGGCAGCACCACTTTTTCCCTGTTTCATGTTGGATGAATGGGTTTCTTCTGAAGCGAAGCGCCAAGAAATCAAGGACGCACTTCTTGAGGAGACGAGGAAAACAGACATCAAACCAGGTGGGTAGCGGCAGCATATTATACATTTATATTTGACTTCATTTCTTAAATTTTGTACACTATTCAATGATTTTTTTGCAGGCTTCGGCTGATTAAAGCCGCCCCGACTCCGACAAGGACTGGCAGGGTGCCGGGAATGGACCCGGTCCCGACATATTCGGTCGCTTCCATGAGTTGGTCAGTTGAGAATCTTGCCAAACGGGGGTCGACAGACTGAAACATTTTATTGCGACATTCGATGGGTCCCCGCAAGACCTTTTCAACGAGGGGTCGGATGGAGTACGTTTAAGAGCTGAGGTAATAGATGTCACAGACTCGTTTTGCGCTTCGGCAGGGCCCCCGTTGCAATGAGTTGAAGAAATATGAAGAATATGGGTATTTTCGGAATCAAGGCGACGAGTCAAATTATGGGCCTCGTTTCGGAACAATTGAAGTAAAAGTAGGAGACTTGTCCGTATTTTGAATAGAAGGGTGAACCTCAGGCACGGTAATAGATCGATAACTTTGCGTTAATCCCTCACGGGGTGTCTGGTCCGAGGGCCGAAGCGAAGGCCCGAGGAGAGGCCGCCGGATGGCCAAGATGGGCCTGCCCCCTGTCAAACCGAGTTGCCGGCGCAGAGAAGCGGAACCCTAGCTTGTTTTCACGTGAACGCTATGAGAGCAAACAGCGTGAATTGATGCAATGCGTTTGAACCCGTTTCCATCGCACCAATTGGTGCAACGCTTTGGCATCGCAGGTGAGAGTGTTGCTACACTCTAAATGCTCTACAGTGAAGATTCTCCATATTATGGTGAAAATGTTCCATGGTGGTGCAGCTGACTTCGTAACATACCATTGAGAATTCACTGTACCTTATAGAGATTTTCACGAATTTCGTTGGTATTATGGAGAAAATCTCCACCATATTATGTTGGTGCAGCCTTTCACCGTAAGACATTTACTGTGTAAATGTGGGAAAACTTACCTTGCCGTTTCATGATAAACGACTGTACCGGGTCGTTTCCGGAAAAAGCGTTTTGTCTGAACTGCATGATCGAATTTCCCCAAGTTTTATCATTTCGAACAAAGAAGAGAAAGCGGGGTGAATATGTTTCTAGCCGCACCACCGGTTTCTTTGATCTCTCATCTTCAATTCGGTGGAGAAACATCATGATTCGTTCTCATTTTCAACTCATTTAAGGTACCTCATAAAAAAAAATTCCAATGCTTACGCATTGCACGGTGTTCCGGTTGTGGAAATAATGTAAGTTAATGAAAGAAGATTTGAAGTTAGAAATACGAAGAAGGGAGTAAATTTTATATTTTGGGGCTGAGAGAGAACCGCAGCCTTTAAAAGCAAGGCCAAACAACCCAACCTCAGCAACAATGGAGAGGCAGTTTCAATGTGCGACTACTTGTTTTTTTTCAGCCTCGCGATTTTCGAAAGGGCGCAGACGCCGGGAAAATTGTTGCCAACCCCCGAAAATCTATTTATTCTGTCTTTTCTGCTGCGAACCTTTTACTAATGACAGATTTGAATGATGTTTAAATGTCTTGTCAGTGTGCAATGAGCGAACATTGGCATTTTCGAATTTTACGGCGTTTTCATTTCTTTTTATCAGGAACTTTAAATTTTGACAGTTGGTACGATGGCAGTGAGACTGTCATGGAGACTTTTTCTTCATGTTTTTGTTATTTTCTTAGAACAGTGATTAGTTTTTGTCACTTTGATGAGGCAAGAGGTTCAGTTTTGAGGAGTGGCACATTTTTTCTTCGAAACGTTTCTGGAAAATGTGAACGGATAAGGGTGCTTGATTGTTGCAAATTTATGTTTTAGTCGTTTACGGAAAATTTCCACGATAAATTTTTTAGATTTTCTGGACTTTTTATTGTATTATGAAAAGGATTAATATGGCGGGAGCGAAATGTCCATTCTGGGGGGTCCGTAGAAGAAGAATTCTGAGCCCCGGGCAATAGGGGTCCTCCTTCGTCGGAACCCCTAAAAATGCTATACTACCCTTTTGCAATTTATTACTATTGCACTTAAAAACTTCAGCCTTCGTAGACCGAATTTTTAGCAAAATTTTTAACATGCAATCCTGTTTTTTTTACGTACTTACATGCAAGAATCAAGGCGCCAGCACGAGATCTCTCTGCCAGAGGAACCCACCGGCCAAGCAACGTGTACGAAGTTGGGTAAACACACTGTCAACAAAAAAAAAACACCTTATTCGTCAGTGTTTCGACCTGCAGGTATCATTCATAACGAGCAGCCCGCGCGAGCGAGTGGAGGACTTTATGAGGGGTTCATCAAAACGCCGGTGCTTTGCGGTCGAGTACAAACCCAAATAGCTTCTTCGTACACATTTACAAAGGCATGTGCTTCTGAGAGCATGTTAGGCATGGAATCGTGTGTACTTGTTAATGCATACAAGTCACGAACTAGGTGGACGGATATGTGATCCATGCAGCAGAAGACAGGGACTGTTTTCTCATCATTTTTCAAGAGAAACAAAAAAATGTTTGAAGGGAAAAGTGTAACTACCAAATTAATGATGAAAATGAACATTTGTCAAAAAAAGCATAAATGATAACTAAAAAATTTCAAAAGTGACTTTGCACACGCTTTGTGATTTAAATCTACCGACAATGGACCACGGAACCAAGTTCCCTTAGTGCTATCAAACGAGGTGGAGTTCGGAGAAAATTCAAATTGAGGTCTGCGGAGTCTTTGAGTGCTCTGCTGAATTTAAGGAGTAGCCTCTTTTCTCTGACTTCACTGCTAGAAAAAACACAATAAAACCTACAAAAATTTCTGGAAAATTCTTTACTTGGTAAAAATTGCACACTGCAAATCCAAGTGTGGGACAGGGATGCACTAGATAACTTGGGACAAACTGCCCACGTTAGAAAGCGTGGGACAGACTGTTGTCACACCGATGCATTAAGTATACACTGAAAATAGAATGGTCGGACACATGGTCAGATTGTAGCGTGACAAAAAGGCACACCAAAAATTGGCGTGACGGGCAATTCACTCTGAAAAACGGCATGACGTAGGACAGAGATGTACAGGGCAGTAGATTCGCATCTTGGGGTCATTTTCCCACCTATTTGCACTTCAATTTATAATATTGATTTCCAGATTGGATTTGTGCTCTAAGCAGACCACCGCTGTATGAAGAATATTTGGTTGGTTGATGGAAACACATGGTATGTGAAGGGCGGATATGTTTCATATTATCATATCATCATTTGATGACTTCAGCTCATGTTTGTGTTTTGGATACATATGTTGATTGTAAGAGAACAAAAATCACATACAATCCTGTTTCACTTCTTCTTACTGCATATTTAGAAAGTGGAAGCGTGCAACAAGCTATGAATGATTATGCAGGGAATGTTGAGGTCATTACAGATTTCAGTTGCACCAAGGACTGAAATACAAGGAAGTTCTTCCGAAGTTTCAACTCCCACACTTATCTAAAATTGTGCAGAATTTTTTAATGGTGATTGACACGTGGAGGGCGAATAACATGTTATTCGCACGTAATATGTTATTCGCCCTCCACGTGTTATTTGCACTCAACAGGTTAGGGCGCATAAGCAATCAACAAAAGCAAAACAACAAAAACAGTAAACATGGCTACTCCTCTTAGACAAACGAAACATTGAAATTGTTACTTTTGTGTGCATTTCATCTCGCCACGGTCAACGATAGTGTGCACTGTAAATGTCTTACGGTGAAAGGCTGCACCAACATATTATGGTGGAGATTTTCTCCATAATACCAACGAAATTCGTCAAAATATCTATAAGGTACAGTGAATTCTGAACGGTATGTTACGAAGTCAGCTGCACCACCATAATATGGAACATTTTCACCATAATATGGAGAATCTTCACTGCAGAACATTTAGAGTGTGTGTCTGTCATGTTTTATCGTGTCGCAGTACTTTTGAAAGGTTTGAGTGCTCTCGGGCCATTTCAAAACTATTGAAGTGTTGTTCTGAGGAAGATTTTGAAGAGGGAGCGGCGTGATGCGGCAGGGCCAGGCTAGGGCTCTGAGGCTAGCTCAAGTCTTCCTGATTTGAGAATGAACTGAGACCCCTTGCTGTGTCAACCCTTTATCAAGAGAGTGACTCAGTGATATCCAGCTTTTTGTGTTGATATAAGTACCATTTTCCAAGTCTCAGGAATCTCTGGCCAAACCAAAGTGATTCAATAGTTGGTCAGCGGCATTGACTCGAAACCAGAAAATACAGATGCAGGTCTTGTTGGCTGAGCGATAGCGAAGCCCGTTACTCCAGTGCGGTTGAAAAGTTTTGTATGTCTGTCTGTGTGTGTGTCTGTGTGTGTGCGCACACTACTCCTCCTGAACGGCTCGGCCGATCTGGCTGAGATTTTGCAGGCTTGTTAGATATGTTCTTGGCTCGGCACACGCGAAATTTCACTATCCTAGCTCATGTGGTTCAGTTTTTAAAGCCAAAAAACACCTAAAAAACGGCGAAAATCGAGTTTTCTGCAGGCAGATCACTTCTGTCTTGAAGAAAGGGGGGTCTGGGGGGCGGAGCCCCCCGGCCTCGACAAGTTGAAAAGTTACAAGGGTCAAGGTCGTGTTATCTGTAGATGAAGCAACTCTATCAAGAATGAAGGGGGGTCTGGAGGGCGGAGCCCCCCAGCATGCAACAAGTAAGAAGTAACCGACGATGGACAAGCCAATGCCTGCCGGCCAAGGTAGGTACGCTAGGCGCGGATTGGGGGAACAGGCCGCGAGACATCGCGAAGCCTGTTACGACAAGACGCGGTCTAGCGTAAACCTACCTTGTATTTAACTGGTCCAGTTCTACTTTTCATAGTATAATTGCTGTGATTTGAACTGGGGATCCTAGGCACAGAAAACTATTGTATGCACATTTATTTTTCTGTGAACGGGTATTGCTTTCCAAGCCAAATTATTGCATTTCTTTTGCAGCGCCAATTTTTGGCGTTCTGGTCTGTGGGGCTCTGGGGAATGGAACGCCAAATTTTGGCGCTCTCTGTGGAACGCCAAATTTTGGCGCTTTGGAAAAGACGCCACTCCAGTGGCGAGGAAACTTGCCACTGGATTTGGAGTGTAGAGCTACTAGCCCCCTGCAAAAGAAACAACATGTTCACTCTCTGAAGAAGTCATTAAGAAAGAAAACCAAAGGGAAAATGTTAGCATTCTCTCTACGGAAATTAAAAAGGAAGATAGGGGATTTTGTTCAAATCATTTTGCCTACTAAAGAAAAAAAAAAATCTTACGCTACTGGTGAAGTTGAGAGTTTAGCTAAGGCATATACTTCTCTCGTTTTCATTGTCATGGGAGTAATCTGTCTATGTGCCAATTGCTTGATTGCTGTTGCAGCCACTAAATGAATATCTTCCAGAGGAGCATCAAGGACCTACAGTCATTGCAGAGAGCAGGAGGAGCCCTGGAGATCAAGCTTCGTATTATTCTCTTAAGTCAAGGTTTGAGCCAAGTGATTCGGTAAGACTTTCAACTGCACGATGTTTTGAATGTAAAATTTTGTAAGGGATCACAACTGTATTCACATTACTTCCTTTCAGGCATCAGAAACTACTGCTACTGCCATAGTGTCGCCCATTAAAATTCTACTGGATATTGAAAAGAAAAAAAATCCGACTGTTTTAGCTCGTAGAAGGAGAAGCCTTTGTTTGGTCCAGGTGAAGTTGAGAGGTCAGCAAAGGTGTAATTGCCACTTCTTGTTTTCATTGGCAATGAAGTAATCTGTCTACGTGCCAATTGCTTGATTGCTGTTGCAGCCTCTAAATGAGTATCTTCAAGAGCATCAAGGACCTACCTACAGTCGTTGCAGAGAGGAGGGGCCTCGTATCTGGGACCAGACTGTCGTTTGAAGAAAGCCCCCTAAAATGTCCTCGATAATGAGAGGACCTGGCAGTAATGCCTTCCCACGTGAAAATGTACGGCAGTAAACGGTCTGTACTTCGTCAGAAATTGCCAGACGGTGGCAGTGCCCCGGTCTTCCCCCGGTGTGCCAGGCTTGAGATGACAGTGGCGCGACCAGCCGACCACACTTAGCTCCAGTTACGACCGTGGACGGTTCCTCGGTGGTCTTAACCGGAACCGAAAAACGTCAGCCCGCCCGTCGGACTGTGTGCTGAAGACAGTGCGAAATCGGGCCGAATACGTGTCATTCTTGCGACGAAGTTTAGACCACCTTGGGGCATTCCATCCCACATCGGCCACTTTTTGTAGGTCACCATTTCGGATCACGATGAAAATTTTTTGTGGGTAGACCTTATCAAAAAAACATTCTGTGCAAAATCTCAGCCAGATCGGTCGAGTAGTTCCTGAGATAGGCGCCCTCAAAGTTTTAGTAAAAACTCATTTAGGTGGTTTGAGCAAATTCGCATTTTTCACGTTTTGGCCGATAACTCCGTCACTATTCGAGCTACGATGATTCCCGGCACGGTTTCTAAAAGGGAATACTGTGAGGATTCAGAAAATGTTCTTAGATTTGAGATACGACTAGGTAAAGGTGGTGAAAAAAGTGAAAAATCGCAGAAAATTTGTATTTTTGGACCAATTTTTAGTGAGATTTCCGGCCTATGCCCATATCGTGAAAATCCAAACCGAATAGCGGAAATTATAGTCCATACCATGCCCAAACACGCTACGATCTCGGACTTGTTGGGTGTGGGTCTAGTTTCGGAGCTGCAGCGACTTGAAAATTCGTAAAAATAGGTCAAATTCTGTTTTTGGCCAAAGTGCACGCGGGCAGTGTTTTTTTGAACAGGCTCCACGCGGCATGGGTAGCTTTGTTCAGATACCCTTTTTGCCCTTTATTTGAAGATTTAAGGTTCCCCATTTGAAAAAATGCATCGAAAATGTTCGAACAAGTGCCCTGGATCCACGAAAAACGAAAGCGGGGAACGCCGCAGGGGGTAGGAAACCCCAACTGGCACGCCCGTACGCCGCCCGGTCTTCCCTACTGCACAGGCGCTCGGGCCACTTCGGTGGGCCCAGCTATGGCACTGTCTTTCCTCTCTCTCTCTCCTTTTCCCCCCCCCCCCCCCCCGTTCCCCCGCGGCCATCCCGTCCAGGTAAGGCTGGCCGTCGACGGTGTCCGAGACCAAGTCGCGGCTGCCTCTCCGTACACCAACGCAGCACAGGGCTCTGCAGACTGATTCCGAGAGTC